TCCCGCATGCTACGCCGCTAATGCTACCTTCCAGGATGATACGCCGCTAATGCTACCTTCCCGCATGCTACGCCGCTAATGCTACCTTCCCGCATGCTACGCCGCTAATGCTCCCGGCTGCTCCGGACCCACGTCGGTCAGTCACCCCTGTGAGACGGTGCTCATGTTCTCCTCTTCTCTGTGCCTCAGGGGAGTTCATTCCTCTGGACCAGACAGACATCAGCCTGGGCTTTGAGACGGGAGACGACCGCCTCTTCCTGGTGTCTCCGCTGGTGATCTCGCACGAGATCGATTCCCGCTCGGCCTTCTGGGACATGTCGCAGGCGCAACTGGAGAAGGAGGACTTTGAGATTGTGGTCATACTGGAGGGAATGGTAGAAGCCACTGGTTAGTTATAATCCCTCAAACCACACACATCATCAGCTCTGTTTATGTTGTGTGTACATGTTGTGTATATTGTGTGTATATTTTGTGTAAATTCAGCACTGTGCAAAAGTCATCTTTATAATATCTTCTGTTGATGTCAGTTATGTCAAGATTATGTCAAATTAATATATTAAGTGTGTTAGCCATTTCAAAACCTCTCTGAAAGTCACCCCAGGACCTGAAGTAACCATGCAATATACACATATTTGTTGACTCGTCCTCTAACATACCACGATTGGCTAATCAATACCTCATCAAGTTATTTATCTAATTAAATCTATTAATTAAGTGAGCCAGCGGTGATCATTAATGAAAACATGGGTCGGCTGAGGTGCCCCTGAGGAGAGGGTTTGGGAACTCAAGCCGTGTTCATCTAGCCGTCCAACCATATATCAGTAACATTTTGGAGAACAGAAGAAATTCTTAATTCTTATTGTGTTACTCTTCATTTGCATATATTCCGCTGTTACATTCTGTACAATTATACACTTGTTACCTAGATTAAATGGCAGACTTCGCGCAGTGCTGTATATATATACCTGTTGAATGTCACGTACAGTGCTGCTTCACTTAAGGAGTACTTCAGATCTGCTGGTGCTTCACTGGGTTCCTCCTGTTAATGGGTAGGAGGCAGGACCGTCTCACACGCGCTCTCCTCCTCCCCCAGGCATGACGTGCCAAGCCCGCAGCTCCTACCTGGCTGAGGAGGTCCTCTGGGGTCACCGCTTCAGCCCCATGATGTCGCTGGCTGAGGGCTTCTTCGACGTGGACTACGGGGCGTTCCACCACACCTTCGAGGTGCGCCGGCCGTTGCCGTCCTGCATACATTTCCTGTATGAATAACAGCTAGTGGACTCCGCTGTTTCACTCAACACTCGCTGAACTTTGAAGGGAGATGATCCACCCTCCATATTTACCTGAATAGTATTTAGGCAAAAATATATGCATGAAAGTACCTTAAATTTCAAAAGCTCATGTTTATAAAATGCAGTTTATTTTTATGCTTCCATCTGCCTCATCTAAGTTCTTCAGGAATTGTGCTGCATGTGTTTCAGCCGCTGATTTCCTACGTGATATTGCCTCTTACTCTCAGGTGGACACGCCTTCATGCTCGGCCAGAGAGCTGTCATTGGCTGCCGCCCGCCTAGACGCCCATCTCTACTGGTCGATCTCTAGCCGCCTAGACGAGGAGAGGTGGGAGGGTCCCAATCTCCTTGACCCTGTGGAGAAGCAGGCTGACAGTGGCTCAGCCAATGGGAAAGAGGGTGTTGGGCCAAAATTTGTTGTAGGCGGGACTCCAGAAAACCAGGACCAATCAGGGCAGGGAGAGCAGAATGGCAGTGTTACCACAGACCAATCAGAGTCAGAAGCTTGAGAAAAAGGAAAAAAAGCCGACAACTATTTATTACAAAGAACAAGATAGAACACTGAAATAGCTAAAATGCTAACTTTGTATTAGGTACACAACGAAATTAGAAATCAATAAAAAAAAAATAGACAGATGTAGCAAAGTCTGTTGTTTCCTAGTAGTGTAAATGTTATATAAGATTTTTTTTTCTGCTTAAATGTACCTAATATACTTGTCGGGAGTTAGAAACTATGGTAATACAAACCTATTTGTCTGCATAATTAGCAAGTAAGTGGTAATTTTATTCTGGCTGACGGTTAATTTTGGAGGTACCAGGTAATCAATAGAGAAGAGTTTGCTGGCAGAGGGACACAGAGGCGGACGGATTTAAAGGGCAGGTGCTGAGAATCCCGGAGAGAGCTCATTATGGGGGAGTGACACCGGAGAGACAAGCTGAGATGGAAATGCCACCAAGTATGGAATTTGTCACAGATTCTGTGAATGGAGATCCTGATAGGGAACAGATGGTGGCTCTCAACAAGTATCCTTCAGAAGTATATACTAATGGCTTTTCGCTGCAAACGCATCTCGCAAGGAAACGCATTAATGGTCTTTAGAAAAATAGACTGATGGTTTATAGAATAACAGGCCGATAAACACCACAGTGTCTCTTAAAACTTTCGATAATTGTTGCAGATGCAGTTTTTAAATGCACATATTTACACACCATGGGTATTCTGTAGGGCAAAGTGAGCAAAGATATCTTTCTCAAGTTTCTCAATTTTTCAAGATTTATTGTATTTCTGTATACAAGCTGGCAGTTTGCCCTGCAACTGGATATTATATATAAAATGGGTATTTTCACTTAAACAGATCAACTATCCAAGGAAAAACATGTTAGTCGTCACAGTTAATGCTTTTTAAAGTCAGCATTGACTTGCGAAGGTACAAACCACACATGTATCGTGTAAAAAAAGATGGATTCTGATTGACACGATTAGCTTCTCTTCTCGTTGCTTAAAGTTTGTGAAAGCCGTTTTCTGGCGTTTTAATATGACTTAAACGTATTAGAAATTAGCGATATTTAACATGGATTCTAGAAATTTTTCATATCGCTGCAATATAATATCTATTTTTTTCAACTCTTACTGTTTACCTTTGTCTATTTATGTACCTGTTTATATGATTTTTTTGATGTGGTAAATATCTGCTGTGTGACAGTCGCACCCTCATTAACACCCTGTCCTTCTGCTCGAGCTGATTCATATTTCATAAGCACTGGCTGCCAAAGCTGCTGCGCCCGCGGTGGGCTGTGTTTACTCTCACACTCGCTGCCCAATCCAGGGGGATTGTGGGTAATTCATATTAGCCACCACTGTTCTCAGCTGGACCTCTGGGATTACGGGTAAATGTTCAGCTATTAATTTTGTCCTGACCTTTCATCCACTGCCGGCCCCCGCCGCCACCCCCCAATCACACGCCAAATTACTATTCCTGTCACATTTGTCTCTACCTTACGAAGACGGTGTAATAAAGGATAACATGAAACATTCGGTGTCTCTCAGTTTCCTGAGCTGCATGCTTTTGCGTGTGAAGCTATGTCCTGCCATGAACATGTATCCCCACCAGGGGGCGCTCTGCCGAATTCTCTGTACTTCCTGGGAATCCAAGCCCCATGTGATCCATTAAGCTGCTAAGAGAAATGGACAAATGGATGTAAATGTATGGACACTGCGGTGTGTTGTTGCCCGCCCAGGGTTGGTTCCTGCCTGCGCCCGATGCTCCCGTGATAGGCTCCGGCCCCCCCGCACCCCCAGTGGGTAATAAGCAGTTACGATAATGTTGCGTGGGTTAGGCATGCAGTGTGCGGCTCAGTGAGTTTGGCCCGTGCAGTGTGCGGCTCAGTGAGTTTGGCCCGTGCAGTGTGCGGCTCAGTGAGTTTGGCCTATGATCAGCACAACAGCCCCAACCCAACTGCATCTCAGCCACTGCGACTGCTCCTACTACCTACCTCCCCCCTCCCCAATATAACAACTATTTATTCTGCTCCCCCAGTCTGTGTTTATCCTCTCTAATCAGTGCTGTGCCGCTGCTTACTTTCATTACAACACCAGCATTCAGCACTGTGATGGTGATGCTTCATTTTTGTTTTTCTTATATAGACCCCCCCCCCCCCCCCCGCCGGGTTACGATGGTCCGTGTTACAATATTTCGACTTTGCGATGGGTAAATGCTTTTCACTTCATTTTTCAATTAATTACATGAGATATTCAATTTTTCATAGAAATTAGTCTTTGTGTGAATGTTTTTGCCCAGCTGTAGGCTAATGTACGTGTCCTAAGCATATTGAAGGTAGGCTAGGCTGTGATGTTTGTGAGGTTAGGTGTCTGTATAAAAAAGCATTATCGCCTTATGATATTTTCGCCTTATGATATTTTCGCCTTATGATATTAGGTTTGTCAGAATGTAACCCCATCGTAACCTGGGGAGAAGCTGTATATCGATTCTACTTATAATGCTTCTTATCTATAAATTTTACTCTTTCATATTTTTAACTTGACCCCTGCAGGCTTACTCTAAACTATATTTCAGTGTATATGTACAGTGATAATAAAGGTATTTTCTTCATCTTCTTCACTGGGCCCTTGAGCGAGGCCCTCATCCACCCCCTAAAATACTCCAGGGATGCTGGTTGAATGACTGACCCTGTGCTCCTCCCCCACGCTTTGTTCTCCCCATTACATGCACGCGTGCCTTAAAAAGCAGTAGCGTAAGATGTACTTGTACCAGTGACAAATCAAGCTCCATTTCACCGGGACCCTAGTCATGGTAGATGGTCAGTGGGGGGCAGTAATAGATATTCTGACACCCCATCTTTGGCCTGAGAAGGGAGGTGAGAGAAGCTGACAGCTGTTCTCTATGATGGGCAAAGCCCTGTTTTCATGGAGCTGCTTGAATCGTCTGCTTGTGTCTGGCTGGGTTTGCCGTGTGAGTGATGGAGCGCTGTGTGGCACGACGCCCAGGAACGACCCGAGAAGAGACCGTGACAGATTCCCGCTCGCACGTCCGCCGCGGACTCGGGCCTGCAGATGTGCGCGGCATATCGGCCTGCATCTGTCAGGCACGCCAGCTACGCCTTCATTAACTTTTAGCGTAAGCTGGCGCGAAGTCGCTCATTAGCGGGCGAAGATGAAGTGCCGACAGCACTGGCATTTCCCTGGATTATGCACGGCATGCGTCCCAGCGCTGCCATTCGGGGCACGGCTGGGCCGAATCTAGGGTTTTTTAAAGGGGGGTGGGGATAACCTTATAAGTAGCCAATGATATTTTTTGAATCGTTGAGTGACAGGTCAGGGGGCACTCTGAGGGCCAATCAGCTTTCAAATTGGGCCAGTGTCCCTGTGACCTCCCCCCCTTGTTTGAAGGCATGTCTCATCCCTTTGTTCACTGGCTCTGCATTCATGGACTTACGCACGGTGTGGTGATGCTTGTGAACGTAAGAACTGCTGTCTGTGAGACTTCCTGGAACTCGGCGATCAGAACGTCCATAAATTGTAATTTTTCAGCATCGAAAGGCTGTAAACTATAGCTTTTCTAAGGCCGTGCGGAAGGCAGAACACAATTCATATGTCACATAGAATTACATGCTTCAAAGTAATGCGTCTCCCAGCCAGGCATCAAAAGACAAGAAAATTAAGTATATGTACTGTGTAGAGTATACTAGTATTATTGTATGTAACACTGTCTAGAATCATCAAGAATCATCATAGAATCAATCAAGACAGCTGCATGTGCATTATTATTTGACGGTTACAACACAGAGTAAAGGTATAGCAACAATGTCGGATTATGACTAAAATTCAATTTACAGATTATAATTATATTATGATTTGATTTACATTTGTGGGGTTAATGGCTTTGGACTTGTTACCCAAAGGCTGCAGGTTCACCACCCAGCAGGGGGCACTATCCATCAGATACTCCCATCATTCAGATGAATTAAATGGGGATAAATCAGTGAAGCACAGAAAATCAGGCTACAGACATTGCACATCATAGTAAATAGTAATTGCTGTAATGTTTGTATACTACCACACGGTGGCGGCCTTTGGTTTGTAAGTGTAGGTGTTGCGTTGTATTGATTGACATGTTATTTTACTGCATGGGTAATAATTGTGACAGTAGCCCATATTTCTCATTCTGTTCTCGCATTCTCTTTGGAAACTACATCTAAGATCCAGAAGATATATGTAAACATCGTGTGCAATTTCCTCTATGTCAACATGCTTACAAATGACTACAGATGTTGCATCCGATTGCGTAAGGCCAGTTTTGATGGAGCATGTCTTTATGTGCAATGAGTCTGCCTTGATATTACATTTTTCTGCACAATTCTATCCCTTTGGTGTCATGCTTAATGAATGGGCAAGAAACGGTAAGTAAAAGAAAAGCCACAATCAATATGAGCGAATTACTGGGTCTCTCCCATTAGACTGAGGAATGGCCAGACTACAGTCAGAATCACTGACATATATAGCAATTAGCTCCCATGACAGATTATTAATAAAAAACTAGACTTCCCTGCATGAGGAACTGAAACTATGTCAGACACAGCATCTCCCAGGAGTCTTAGTTAACACGGCAGCATATACAAACGAGATTCGCTCTTTTGTCCGCTTGCAACGGAGATCTGACCATAGAGCAACATAGAAAAATAAATACTCAGGAGAGGAGAGAATAAAAGACATGTTTGCAAAGGTTTTGATTAATTGGGTGACCCAGCATGCATTCGGATTGTGGCTTTTGCTTATGAGACGCATTCCCCAATAAACGGATTCATAACTCTGAGCTGGAGCTGAGATTTATTCGCGGTGGGGGGGGAGAGCTTATGTACGTTTCAAACTTTATAAATGATGAATTTTAATTAGGTACGAATGCATTTCAGGGCAAAATCTGGGGCTTTTGCTTCCCCCCCCCCCCAATTAGTAAAGAAATGTAGTACTTTCTATCAAGTATATATAAAATTCCCAAACTCAGATGTATAGCTTGAAGAAAAACATGATACATATAGCAGTTTGCTTTTATATAGACGGAGGCATAACCGCAGATTAACTGGAGGAAATCATACCTTATATTATTTTATTCCAACCATCGATTTCTTTTTCCTCTTCATGTCCTTTTCGGGGCTCCATGGGTTTGAACATTGATAGTGATCAAATCAGCCCCGAACCCCCCAAACACAGATGACACTCCGACAGCGACGCGCCCCTAACACCACCCCCCACCCAAACCTGCCCGTGTTTACTGAGGCCTCTCAGGTTGAGGAACGGAACGTGAAGTGCGAAAGCGATGTGGACGTCGGGTCGGCTTCTCGTGGAGGGGCGGGGGGAGGGATGGGTGGGGAGGTAGACCCAGGAAGACAGTATCATACTGGGCATCTAACCTGAGCTGGGGCAGGCAGGGGTTCAGTAAGGAACCTCCCAATTATCTTGAGGGGTAAATATATATCGGTCCCCCCCCCCCCAGCAAGCATGGCAAGAGTTACGTAATATACACAGTGCATAATATACTGTATATAAATAAGAAAGAAGTTGAGGAACCACTGTGCATATAAGTAGGGATCACAGCCCAATATATATATAAATACATTGTTTCTCAATATTGTTCATGGAAAAGAACCGTATTTGTTACATGAAGTGTTTAATGTCTAACTGTGGTTGAAATGTTAATATATATTAATTTCTAGAGCTCTGCTGACTGACATTACTTGGCGTAAAATGCAGAAAGTTTTTGGATAAGTTTGCGATCTTCAGCCGTAACGCAAGAAGCAAGTTAAAGCGACGGCTGATTTTTTAAAGGAATGAAGTCAGATTTTTGTTTAATTGCTCCCTTCCGAACGCCATCCAAACCTCCCACAATGCACCGCCCACGTCGCCGGGCCAGACGGGGACCACGCCCCCCCCTCGGCCTCCATGTCGAACTTCATCATCGCCATTTTTACAGAAAAGAAAATTATTTGTTTATATTGCCATACAAACAACCATAATCCAAAATGTACAAGAGGACAGCTTAGGTGGGCGCCCAAGGGCAGACTGTGATGCGTTTTATTGATTTTACAGGACTAACACTTGCACTCTCGACAGCAGCAGAATAATATGAGTCAGCCATGTCTGCACACAATTACTGCCCCTCTTCCGGTGCTGCATATAACACGTCATGTCCCATCGCATTGCCCTAGAATGAGTCCCATCGCATTGCCCTAGAATGAGTCCCATCGCATTGCCCTAGAA